CATCCCCTACGCGACTCCTTAGTGCTTCATCAGCAGCAGACATTTTTGGGCCCTGGCATACAGCACCCCATCTCTCGCCTCTCTGTCTTTGCTTCTGTTCACACTGAGAAACCTCCCACCCTGAATCCACTGCCAGTATTCAGTGCAGCGTCACGTTCCCTATCGACTCACCCAGCCCCTCTAGGATTCTGAGATATCCCGTTTGTCTCTGTTGTAACACTTGGCTACATTGTTCGTTAGTTATCTGTTAACATGCCACTCTTCCCCCAAAGCACTGTGAGCTTCTGTCTTAGCTGGCAATGGAAGCGCGTCCAGGCAGACAGAGGCCTGGCTGTGTGCGAGAGCAGGAGAGAGCACCGATGCAGTACCTGCGGGCTGAGCCAGCCAGACAGCCTGTGGCCCAGACCCCGTCGGTGAGCAGGGCCAGGACCTGGAACACTGGCGCAGGGGCATGAGGCCGCTGGGTGCCCGGCAGTGCCCGGCACACTCAGAGTTCCTTGCCTCATATCTCTCGTTCAACACTGTATCCACACTGCAGAGTGATAGTAAGTGCAAAGCGACTGTCAGAAACAGGGCTGATGGGACATAATGAACAAGATCTCAGCCACAACTGTGCTCCATGAAAATAGAAATACAAGTTTGGAAATAACTTGGCCTGACATTTGAATCACATTGACAGGCTCAAATTTTTTCATGTCTTGTCTTAGGCATAGTAAAGGGAATCTGAAATTTTTCTCTTCTTGGTATGTAAAACTGTCTACCAGCGGCACATATATATAGCTTTGGGGTTTCAAAAACAAATAAGAAATCTTGGTCCTGCCGAAGGCGGCTAAGTGCTGCCCTGGTGCTTTATCTGTCATGTTGCGAAGTCGCTGCCATGGGATGCTCGCCGCCCGTGGTTCTACTCAGGAGGCGCACTCGTCCTTATGCATTCATTCGTGGACGGGGCATTCACGAATGGAGTGCCTACTGCAGTGTGCACTGTTGTCAGCACCGGTGACACAGCAGTGCCCAAAACAGACAAAAATCCCCACTCGTTTTAACAGTTCTGCAACTTTAACATCTTAAAATTAGAATATATCTTAACGTGAACCTCGTGACGGTTTCGTTTGCATTTTTTTTTCTTTTGGTGGCACATAAAATAACAGTACATCTTACAGTTGTTGGGGCTTAGGTTCATTGGCAGTAACGGGGAAAATAAAGTGTTTTTTCTTACTAACAGAGGCTTAGGCGTCTCTGGACCCAACAGTTATTATAAATAACTAGGAGCCTCGGCTGTTCTGACACCAGTGTGGGTTTGAATATAACATTCAACCCCACCAGAAACGGCTCTCGTGCTCATCGAGGCGAGAGCAGGTGGATTTCTCATTTGAAAGCTTCTTGGTATTTCCTGTGTCCACGTCTCACTTTCATTTCGCCTCGCTCGTTCTGAAATAAGTCTACGTTGTTGTCAGAAACAGCTGTATTAAGTGTAGGAACTCAGAAGAAAAGACAGGTCAGGAGGCAATTGTGGGACGAAGCTACTGCAGATACGTACTTCGTTTGCAGAGTTTTGAAAGAAATTAAATAATGAAAATCTGTTTGGCTTTCAATGTTTCAAAAATTGGTAACTTGTTTTTACCAGCTCAGTTCCTGGGTGAAAATAAGTCATGTTTATACAGATATTGAAAATAGATGTTTTAAAAGAGAAAAGCGCTCGCACAGCCTGTTGGTAGAGAACACGAGACAATCGTAATAATACCCACAAATCGAACAGCGTTTTCTTCTTACAAAGCGCTTTTCACACATGCTCTTAATTTTGGCCCTGCCCGTAAACCCTGCACATGCTCTACGTGAGGGAACAGTGCTGGCAGTTAGTGACAGTTTTCGAGTACTGCACGCCTAGTTAGGAGTGCGCCGAGGCCTAGCCAGGTGTTCATTTCCACTGTGCTTTGTTGTCTCTCGTAGGGCGAGCCGGTGGGGACAGGCTTTCATGCCCAACTCTCTTTCCTGCCCACTGCCCAGGATGTACTGTCACACGGTTACTGTGTGGAAAAGTGCATGGCTTGAACCTTTGCCTGTTTCAGGCCCAGGGATACCCAGGCGTAGCCAGTCATCACTGAGAGGTGGCTCGACATGTGCGGTGCACTGGGGAAAAGCCACACACCCTGCCGTTCTCATGCGGGAAAGGCCGCAATGCAGAACGTGTAGAACACGTGGTGCCGTCACGGTTACATGCACACGGGCGTGAGTTTCAGTTTGGGCGTTTTGCTCACTGCCTCCCATGGTCTCATTCGACATGTTCCTCTGACCCCAATATTTCCTGCAAACTGGTATTAATAGTTAGATCTGATGAGATGAGGTCATTGTGGAGAAGGAAGAACTCTCTCTACACTTCTAGATTCTTCTGGTTAGTCTAATAATTAAATCGACATGCGACGCATTAGCAAATAAATAAACAAATTTAATTACATATGCACATCTGGGAACCCCACATACAAGAGGGGTTCAGAGACAGAAAGTTAAAATGAGATTTCTGAGCTAAGGATGAGGCAAGACACCTGGGGCTTCAAAGGGGAGGAGGGTCACTGTGGGACAGGACGAACAGGTGTCCGGTAACAACTAGTTTGCTCTGTCCTACAGATAGGTGAAAAAGCTTATTTCTGGTGATAAGTCTTATGAGCAAGTCCCCTGCTTTAAATTCTGTAAGAGACAGAGGAAAGTTTCTCACGAACCCACAGGGTCTCTGTCACCCTTAGCTCAAAATTGTCTGCATACCACAGAGGCGCATCTTGGGGTGACCCATTCTGAAACCCTACGTTAGTCAGCGTTTTTGTTCTTGTGAAAATACCTAACGGGCGATGCTGTGTTTTCCCTGTCACGTTGCATCCGGCATCTGACGAACAGTCGCTTGTCTTTGCCAGCTAAGGTGAATCGGGGGGTTGGGGTGGTGTGGGTCTGATCTAGCCATTTTCGGGTTCCTCAGTAATTTTTCACCTAACGTTTTCTCAGCCATTGATAACCTCTGCGCAGACCCACGAGTCATTCATCTCAACGTAAATGAATATAAGCGCAGGTTCCTATGACAAGCTCGGCGCTGATGGAACTTATCGCTCACACTGTCGTCGTGTTGTGTTCACGGGAGGAAGCTCCCCAGATGTGACTTGTTTGTGATAAAAGGGGTAGAAAATCAATTGGTCCATTGTTTGCCCGGCTTCTAAAGGAAATGCACATTAATGAACGAATTTTACTGCGGTTGCTGGTATGTTGGTTTTAAGTGAGAACTTCTCACCGAGAATCAAAATGCGCTATAATAATACTGTTGCTATAAGAAAAGTTTTGAACTTGGAAATCAGCACCTGTAAAGGTCTAAAGCTCACTCTGAATCCACTAAATAAACTTCAGTCCATCAAAAGGATCTGTTTGTTACTTTTTAATTGTCTTTTTGGAGTACTTGAGATCACATCGATTCCAGATATATACTTGTTAACATTCAGCCTGTCATCTCATGTTGGTGCTTCAAGAGTTTTCCGAGTACCTCCTCGTGAATGTTAATAACAACTGTTTGGAAGATGCATTAAGACTTGAGGGTTCTGTTTGTTCTCCACAGGCTTGGAGCCTCCAAGAGTGTACATTTACCTGATTTTATCACTCCTTATGTCACTCAGCAATTATTCCATGACACCTGGGGTCGACCCAGGAGAATAGAAGACTGCGTGACTTGTGGTCTGGTCGTAGGTGGTACAGGCAGAGGTAGAAAGCTTACATAATGAGTCAGAACAAGGCTAACCAAGGTGGTGCCACTTAAACAAGACTAAAATCGCCCAGTTAATGAAAACTGACGGGAGGGAAGGAGATCAGGGTACAACCAAGCGTGGCCTCACAGTAAGATCCTTAAAAGGGTCACCCTAGCAAAACTGTCCCAAAGCTTTGCCAGTTTCCCCAGGGCCAGTTGTGTGGGACCTAAACCAATTCTGCATCTTTTGTCAGATTTGTAATTTTACTTTGCAAGACCAATGAAAATGGTGTGCAGGACGAGATGCTAGTTTATGCACTGGGGGGAGCTCGTTTTACAAATGACCACTCCATTAGTTCTTGTGATGACATTTGCTTCCTTACGTTACTTGGATAATGAGCACATGCCACCACTACTACCTGCCCCATAGCTGGTAAAACTGCATGATTTATACGTGTTTGTTTTGTAATGGAGGAAACGCATGCTTCAGATTAAAAAAGACGTTTGCAGGTAAAAGAATGAAAATGTATGTGGTATTATTTTCACTGCTTAGATGGCAACTCTAAACTTTCAAGAAGGAAATACGAGGACTCTAAAGTAAGGTTTATGTGCTATTTTGCCCTCCAGGAGGTTTCAGCCAAGAAGAACTTCTAAAAATATGGAAAGGGCTCTTCTATTGCATGTGGGTGCAGGATGAACCCCTTCTACAGGTAACATGCCGTTCCTTTTGTCATGTTCTGGATTTGGGGCATAGATGGGCTAAAGAGACTTGCTCGTTTTATGCTGATCGGTCCCTAATGTGCCCAAACTGAAAAGCATTGCTTCAAGGACTCCGCCTCACCTCTTGTCATACAGAAAGGTGCTTTGGTGCAGTGTCCAAGCGTCAGGGTTAACTATCTCTTCAAATAAGGAAGGATGCGCAGACAGTAAAGACTTTGTATCTCCCCGTCACACTTTCATAGTTCCGCGGTAGGTTTTCTGCAGTTTCCGCTTCATTTTCTGTCATTTGTGTTCCACAGTGTCGTGGCGCTAGTGTAAGATCCTGCAAGCGACCCGGGGCTGGGCGGCCACCTTGCTGGGGTCAGGGTCTCCGTAGGGCAAGAGGCGGCCGCCATCTGATGCCCTCGGCGCGGATGTGCATGTGCTCCTGGACCCATCCTGTCCACAGAGCACTCTGGTCCCCGTGACCGTGATCATTTCAGAAAATGGTCTTCACCGTTAAGCTTTGTTCTGATGCGTAGAAGCAGAGTAAGGGGGTACGCTCTGCACCCCTCCGATGGATAAACGTCATGGGTGGAATTTACTTGGCCGGGTTTTAATGCACGGCTCTGCCACCTCCCCCGAGCCACGTCACAACTCACTCTGACTTATCGCTTTTCCTCCGCCGAACATATTTTGAGTAGGATAGCAGAGCAAAATATTTTTAAACTACATTCAGAAGAGAAAACCAACAGCTTTGGCAGAGGAAGAAACATAAACAGGAACACTTTCAACTCTGGGACTGTCTTTGAAATGGGCGAGGAAGGCTGGCGGGGGAGTGCGGGCGCTGCTGGAGGGGCCTCTTCTTCCGGAACTTGGGACAGCACCTCGTCCACACTCCCCAGGGGGATTCTCCCCGCCAGTGAGCTGCCGCATCTGCGCAGGACGTGCCCTTCCCATGGCGCTTTTGCCCAGGACAGAGCCTGCCACCGAAGCCTGTCCCTGAGCAGGCCGGGGACAAGGCCTTCCACTTCCACGCTCGGGCTCCAGGGTATGCGGGTCCCCAGGTCTCACTGCCGGTGACAGCCCCCTGCTGCGGTATCTGTTTGCATTACTGGGAGGATTAGGATAACATCACAATTTTTAAAGTTATTTCTTCTGCAGGTTTTAACAGATAACTAGAGATACTTTTCTAAATATGCAGCTTAAACAAACCTTAGAGGCATATTAAGTGGGACAAGAGTCCATAGAAATTGCGGGTTTCACCTTTGGTAAAATTCAGATCTTCACACGCACACTTCTGAGTGGAGGTGACGGTGTCGCAGAGGGGCAGGGCGGCGCGGCGCGGCGTGTAACCCACTGCTTCTCCCCCCCGCGTCTGTGTAGGAGGAGCTCGCGCGCACCATCTCCCAGCTCATCCATGTCGTCAACACCCCGGAGGCCCGTAAGTCCTGCGGTTGTCGTGACCCCTGTTCGTCAGGCTCGGTGACGTGCCTGGGAGACCCAGTCCTTGTTCCTTCTCTCTCCCCCAAGGTGCCACCTTCCAGTGGGCTAGTTTAACGTGAACCTGGGGCTCCCAGTGTGTAGGTGTCAGGCGATAGGCCGTTCCTGGGGGAAAGCGAGGATGAACTTAGACACTGACTCTGTGACAGCGTGAAGGAGGCGTCTTGGGGGGTAGCTTATCTGACGTCTCAGAGGTTTCCACAGAATGTCTTAAGAGACACTAACCCTCCCAGAACCTCCAGATTCTATTACTGACACGCAGAGAAGCTGTGCATGCGGCGTTTGCAGTCGTCTGGGGGCCAGGTTCATCCTTGAGACTGGAGCCATTTTAAGGTCGTCGCTGTTAAACTGTGAAGTGACCCCTCTTTGCTAGAATGAATGAGCAAGGGGAGAAGCTGTCTCTGGGGCAGTTAGGATCTGGTCACTCATAGAGGACGGAAGGGACAGCAGAGTGAGTTTGGTGTGCTCGCCTCTCCTGGGAGCAGAGCCGCCCTAGGTACTCCCATCCGTGGTCCCTGCACTGGGCCAGGTTCCCGCTGACGCCCGACACACGGTCCCACACGTGGAATGTAGTGTGGGTCTTCATACGTCGAGAAAGACTCACACAGAAGAAGCAAAGCAAAAAATATCAGACCAAAGTGACTTTTGGACCAAAAAAGTGCTAGTTTCGTGGTTCAGAAAAGAAAAGTAGAATGTTTTGTTATAGCTCACCCAAGTTGACACTGGACATGGAACAGAGCTGGGCTTCTATGTGGGCCATCCAAGGTCCATCAGAATTACTGGCTTCGGAGCGTTAGGTGTAGGCGGGTGGGAAGGGCCGGCAGACGTGGCTCAGAAAATCTCAGATTTCAGTAGAAACGTGGCTTTGCCGTGGATAAAGAAAAATGCTCCCGAGAGCCCTCTAGTTGAGCATGAAGATGTTGCCAGCCTTCCTGTTACTAGAGTATGCTCTTACTTAAAGGTAAATGAAATTATCAAGCATGTTTTCTTAGAAGGATTCTTAGGAGTGCATAGTGAATGCTGCTAGTTTGCACGTCTTCGTTGCTCTCCGGCGGCGTGGTGCCCCGTGCACCTGCCCGTGCACCTGGAAAGCACGTGCTAGAAGCCTTTTGTTCACCGCAGAGCACCTGTTCGTTCAGACCTTCTGGCAGACCATGAACCGCGAGTGGACGGGCATTGACCAGCTGCGCCTGGACAAGTACTGCATGGTGAGGCCGCGCCCGCGTCCCGTTTGCCTGGGCAGCTCGGTGAGGGGGGGCGGTCATCTGAAAGCCACGGCAGGCTTGCCCGCGGAGCACAGTGCGGTCCTGGCGTTGGGGGGGCGCGGCGGACAGCCTGCGAGCGTGTGCACGAAGACCTTTGCTCTGTCTCTTCCAGACGTTGGGGATGCACGTGGGGATCTTGGGTTAGCATTTTATGATCTAGAATTAAGTCTGATTACTGCGGATGTTTTTTCGCTCTGGGGTCCAGGCCACACCAGTGGCCTTGGTCTCCTCGTTCTGCTAAGCCGATCAGTCCTCCTCTCCCTTTGTAACACAAGTCGTCTGTCCTTAGCTGATCCGTCTGGTCCTGAGGCAGTGCTTTGAAGTTCTGAAGCGGGACGGCTGGGAAGAAAGGTTGGTACTGTTTGGACTGGCGGTCGGTGGCCTTAAAACCTGCAGTGCGATAGTGTGCTCTCCAAGCCTGCAGTCAGTCGACACGTACGACTTGCCTCCCGCTCTGCTGAGTGTCCCTCCGCCCAGAGGACCTGAAGCCCAGTGGAGGAACACGAGAGCTGCACCCACGTGGCAGGCCGCAGCGCACACCGCGTCCCGCGGTCGCCTCTCTCCCTGTCGGCCGCGGCGGCTCGTGCTGCAGCGCACACCATGTGCCACGCCCCCGCCGAGGGGAGGACAGGGTCGGCCACACCACGTGCCACGTCCCCACCGCAGGGACAGGGTCGGCGCCGTGCCCACGCACCTACACGTGTCATTTCCTCAGCCGCATCACGCGCTTCCTCGACGTGTTGATGAAGGAGGTCCTGCACCCTGAGAGTCGGTCTCCCGATGGGGTCAAGTTCCACTGCATCGACGTTTATCTGGATGAACTGTCCAAAGTGGGCGGGAAAGAGGTGAGTGATGTGTCGTCCCACCAGCTGCTGGGACTCAGGGCGGGGGGGACAGGGCTTCAGCGGCTCTGCAGACAGCCTGTGCGCTGGGAGCGGGAGGCCGAGGCTGGCACTGTGTCACCAGCCGTAGTAGAGCATGAATCGGGTCAACCTGTCATTTGACATAGTCCTTTTCCTTCAGATTGTGTCCTAAGCAGCTGATGGGACATGGGCATGGACGTGCACTAAGGGTGTGCAGGAAGTCTCATGAAACAGAATTGACAGCCACCTGCACAGTCCAGGAGAGAATTCGGCCACCTGAGGAAATGCTCAGGACAGAGTTTTGAAAAGCGGGGGGCAGGAGGGGCAGTGGCCGAAGCATGCACGGCGTGCCCTTGTAAGGACACACTCCTGTGTGACTAGGCAGGGCTGGCAAGGGGACTGTGCTTCAGTGTGCACGTGCTCATCTGAATTTCAGAGATCGTGAGACGGCGTGCCCTTGTAAGGACACACTCCTGTGTGACCAGGCAGGGCTGGCAAGGGGACTGTGCTTCAGCGTCACGTGCTCATCTGAATTTCAGAGATCGTGATCAATTTTACTTTTCTCTTTCACAAGTATTCTGTGGTAAACGTGTTTTTTTAACTAAAAGAAAGTATAAACGTTATATTAACAAAACAATTCCTTCCTCTCAGTGTCTGGTGGGCGTGTACAGCAGCGCTGGTGGGAGCGGGTGGGGTCTCCGGTCCCTGCATTAGGTGCCCAGGAGCTGGAGGACAGCGTGGTCTGTCGCCACGCCCGGCGGTCCATGCAGAGCACCCTGGGCACTGTGAGACCAGTGTCTTCAGCCTGACTCGACCCGTGTGAGAAAAGCAGATATTTCTCAAGGACGCCTCACGAAGGAAAAAGCCTTTCTTTTCCCTTATTTATTTATTTTCTTTCCTGTTTTATTTCTGAATTATAGCTTCTGGCAGACCAGAATCTCAAGTTTATCGATCCATTCTGCAAAATTGTTGCCAAGACTAAAGAGTAAGTGATTCATATATCTGCACTGCTTCATTTGGCACCTGCCGGGGGGCCCTGGGGTGGCTTCGTGCTGGCAGCGTGGTGGAGCGAGAGGCCTAGCTGGCCGTCCGGCGCCGGGAGCGGCCGCGTGCTTCTTCCCGTTGGCAGAACACTGGGAGATCAGCGTCGCAGCTGGGCCCTTCCGGCTTCGCGGTTTGACCCAGAGTCCCATCTGCTGTCGGTCCCACTGCTTCCATCACAGAGCCTTGGCTGGCTCCCGGCAGCTCCCGATGATTGGCATGGAGGTGTGGTTGGGGGTGCAGGTGCTGCTGCCCCGTTGATCGGCCCCACCGGGCGCTAGGCGGCTGACGCTGCAGGTGCGGTGACTGTCCCCTTATCACTCTGCTGCGCCGTCAGGGCTGAGGTCCAGACTGCCAGTCTGATCCCACCCTCTCTGCTGTACCGCCCCCCCCAGCCACACCCTGGTGCAGACCATAGCGAAGGCCGTTTTCGAAGTCATCGTAGATCAGTCTCCCTTCGTACCTGAAGAGACAGTGGAGGAACAGGAAGCTCTGGTGGCGGACAGCAACCTTTTTGAAGAAGGGACATCTGAAAGGGAAGTGACATGGAAAACACCATTCAGTAAAAAGAAGACAGGTACGAGGATTCCCTTGACTAGTCTTTCTCTTTTTAGGTGAAGTCCTCATCCCACATTCCAAAATGCTTTCCAACATGTTTGCTCGGGTCTCACTGACCCTAACCTAGACTTTGGCAGAGGTGGCTTTGCCGTGGACGCCACCTGAGGACGGACCAGACGTGGATTCAAAGCGCTGTCTGTCCGGGGCCCCGGGGGATGCGCCGAGGTCTCGGCGTGCTCCCCACCCGCTAGTCTGCCTCCCTGGGCGGCGGGACGTTCGCCGAGGCCTTTCTGGTCATTGCCATTTCTTTGGGTTTTGTCGTCTTTGGTGTGTTTGCTCTTTGGATGTGTCCAAACGTCTTGACGTGGACTCAGGTCCGTGGCGGGTCCTGGACATGAGGCTGATGGACACTTGCCTTTCTGATCTCGGAGAGCCCTCAGGGCCCTCTCTCTCCAGGCGTGTAAGTGCCCACCGTGGGCTGTCTGCTCTCCGCACCGCTTCACCTGCATGCATTTGCTGGACCGCGTGCACTTAGAGTCGCAGGCCCATCAAAGCTGACAGTGGCATCTCAGTGCCCAGCGGGAGGTAAAATGGTCGGTGTCCCCACAGTTTTGAATGTTACGTAGCCAGTGAAAAGGAAAGTTTTCAAAAGCTAATGACCGGGGGAAATGCAGTGGTTTTTAAAGCAGGACACAGAACTCGGCACAGGAGGCTCCTGGTCGGTGTTAGCACTCATGTCGCCTTGAACACTCTGGAAGGACTTGAGTCACGTTCACAGCCCCCCTCGCGGGGCGTGATCCTGGGTGATTTCTGCTTCTGTTTCCTTTGTTCTCTCGTCTGGTTTTCTCAATTGTCTACATTGAGCACACGTTATTTTTTAATCAGTAAAAAGAGAAGAAGAAACATTTTAATTTGAAATTCCGCATAGGAACTGGGTTAACTAAAAACCCTGAGCAAATTTTGTGTGGTTGTGGCATTTGTCTCTGGATCCCCGCTCCTGGCCACGTTTCTGTCTAAACCGGAGATGTCTCGCTGTTGGGGACTTCCAGAGTTCCCTCCCAGTGCCCTTTGCCAGACGAGTCCTGCTCTGCCTTCTCTGGCTGTGCCCCGAGGCCGTGCCGCTCGTGAGCCCGCAGGATTCCAGAGACAGTATGAGATTGAAGTTGTGAGTTTTCGTTAGTAATTTTTATCTGCTTTTCCATGGGCTTTAGTGCTCTTTGAATTGTTTTTGAGTATTAAGAGTTACATTCAGTTTTATTTTGTTACTATTAGTTTCCAGCATCCGGTGCCCTGGTTAGACATTTAAGTAGTTTACGGAGTGATCCCCGTTGCCTTAACTTTAACGCGTGTTTCCTGGGGCCACCGCAGGAAGTTAGTGCACCACCGACCGCTTTTACCGCGGCCCCACCCGGTCTGCAAGGAGGGGCAGAGCCGCACGGTGCCTGTCCCGCTGCCGAGCCCCCGCCGGGAGCGCTCCGTCCTCCGCCGACCGCGTGTGCCACATGGTGCTGGGGGCTTTCTGGTAGCATTGAAAGGCAGAATGTGCGATTGCTCCCAGATTTTTTTTTCACTTCCAGGGGCCGAAAAACCATCAAAATATCTTCGGGAAATTACAAATATGTCTGCAGGGTTTTTCTCTTTAAAGAAATTTTCTTTTCCACTGAGAGACACCTACTTAGACGGCAGCTCCTTTGGAACTAGTTGTTGCCGTGTAATTGAAGAATTTGTCTTTCGATGTGTTTCGATAGCACTGGGCAAATGTCACTCCAAAAAAGACGGAATCGGTGATGAGGGCGAGAGAGACGGCGGCGGAAGCTTGGAAGATGCTGGGCCGCTTCTCCAGGTTGGTGACAGTCATTGCTTTTCATAGAATACAGGTTTACTGTGGAGCAGCCTGACTGGTTGGGAATTAGGGTCAGTGCTAATCCCTTCTGTCTCCAACGTCACCTTCCTAAGGAGCTTATTGGAGACAAAGGCATTTAAATATGATGGAACTTTAAAAGATGTCAGTCTTCACTTCGGCTTGAATTGCTAAGACCTGTTCTACACCGTACAGCAAAGCCAGCTCAGCGATACTTTTCAAGTGAGGGCAGTTTGCTGTTACCAGATGCAGGTTGGACAACTGGATTAAATTTACAAAGGAGCACCCCCCAGTAAATTTTAGATGGTATATTTTACCCCCCTTTTTTTTTTTTAAGGAAGAGGAATTACAACTCACTTCTAGGAAAAAAAACGGGATGGGTTTTTCAAAGATCTTGCTTAAGCCTTTGGTTGCTAAGTCTTAGCACGTGCCGCGCAGACGGTCCTCTGCGGAGTGCCGCCAGCGGCCCAGACCGCGGGCTGCTGTCACCGGCGGACATGCATTTCCGAGTCAGGTGGTGACTGCCACAGGTTGACGTTCATTTTTTTTCTCACGTAGTTTGACTATAAGGCCGTTGCTGACCGACTCCTGGAGATAACCAACAGAAGAAACATCCCTCCCTTCAACAAGAAACGTCTCTCCAAACTAATCAAAAAGTAAGTGATCAGGCGAGAGGCTGTCACTTGATTCTCATTCACGTTCAGGTCCAGCCCTGTCATTCATCTCGCGGTGTAGGATGAGCTATCACCATGTTCATTACCTTTTTTTGGTCCTTTAATGGTTCCATTTATAGCAATGCAGTATACACGTGTAAACTGAAGTGTTTAATGATGACAGCTGCTTGCCAGCCCCTCAGGTTCCAGTCGTCAGATGCAGCCACGCCCATACTTAGCTGTTTGATAACGATGTAGACAGTTTGTTGGTGACATCTAAAATTATTAGATGAAGGAATTGCAGTGTAAACGTACTGCCGAGCTGTCCTGTCGGCACACTGGAGACGGGTGGGGGTATAGCCATTTGTCTGTCCCCCACCTCCTGGCATGGAGACTCTGTAGTCGGTGACGTTAGGCCTGGACCCATAAGCCACCGCAGAGCCCTGTGGCCCGTTGTGATTGGCAGTATGCAGCAGCTGACTTTCATCCCACCGCCTTGAGCGGACGCTGTTCTGGGCACTTTACGTAAATTATTTCATGTTAAGAAAAGCCCCTTAGTCCAGAGGACTTAAGATGCTTCTGTAATTTCCCCTTTGGACACATGGGTTAACTCGGGCACAGAGAAGGTCACTGGCTCGCCCCAGGTCGCAGCTGCCCGACACGGAGCTGGGCTCAGACCCCTGTCCGCTCCCCCAGGGCTCTGCCCCCGAGTCCGCACACCTCCCACACTTCCCTCACGTCCCGGTGCACCAGACCGCGTAGAGCAGAGCGGCGCTGGCGCCCGCCCACCTGGCAGGTAGACGGAGCACCGTGTCCCCGAGAAACGGAGACAGGAGGGAAACAGGGCTTCTCCGGCTTTGTCGACAGGCTCCTTAGATCAGCATGTCCTGGAGGACACGGGGACACTGAGGGCGACTCTGCCCTTCGTCTTTGGCCTTTGCGTCACACGTCACACCACCTCTTCAGCCTCTCCTTTTAGAAGGAAAAGCCAGGGAATTAACAAATACCACGTTCTGAAAGTTTCGCACGGTGGTTCTAGGAGACAGGCGGGGCCTCTCTATAGACTTCTGTTTTCTTTTTCAGATTCCAAGATCTGTCTGAAGGTGAGGAAAGTCAGGGTTAGAATCGATGATGTTCTCCCTGACTAGGACCCCACCGAGGGCATTGGTAGCACCTATTCCAAAGCACGGTGGGAAGACGATCGAAAATGCAAGCAAGAGCAGCCTTCGCCTCTGCAAGTCATCAGTCACACCGCTTGCTGCCCAGCTGATGAGAGGCCCCGGGAGGAGCCAGCGTGGGGCCTTCCCTAGCCCTCCCTCCCCTGGGACCCACACTGAGCCACATACACGGCTGTCCTCTCTGCCAGGGCCAGGGCAGCCCCAGGGAGCGAGGAGGGGCTATCGTTTTAACAAGAAGTGTTTCTATTGGTCTAGAAGGTTCCAGACTGACCCTTTATGAAGAACAATTGGTCTCTCAGGTCCCTTTTACTTGCAGTTATGATCACTCATCCCCAAGAAAAAGCTGCTGTCCGTGAACTTGGTTACATTTGAGCAAATTGACAGGCCCACTGCCCCCCGACCCTGGGCCCCTGGGGTGCTTGGAACCAGGGTGTTCGGACCTGGTTGGTTGGCAGGTGGAGATGGCATGGCCAAGCCCCTGAGGTTGAGCCAGAGACGATGTCACCCAAGATAGTCCCTTGGCTTGCGAGCATACCACAAAGTTGTGTTAAGTGTAATATTCCTGTGTCAGCAGCTTTGAGGTTCGGGTTGGAGAAGTAACGAGGAGCAGTGATGAGTCCGAAATTGATACGAGGCCCCTGGGGACAGTTGTGAGGGTCTCAGAGAGCTGACTTCATGTGGCTTTGATCTCCAGCAGGCAGTATACCTCAACTCAGATTTGCTGAGGACATTTCCACTGATGAAGACTGCCAGACCCTCAGTCAAGGAAGGCATAAGAAGAAAGGAAATAAACTTCTAGAGAAAACCAACGTGGAGAGACAGAAAGGTGAGATACAAGCAGAGCCGTCGTGAGGACCTGAGCCAGCGTCTGATGGGTCACTACCGAGCAGCAGCTCTCGCTTTTCATAGCTGAAAGTAAGGGTGGTTCCAAGTGTTGGGTTTTCTGCGGCACCTGTGTTCCCTAAGCAGAAGGCATTTATTTGCCCCGGAGGCATCTTTGAGCACGCGGGCGAGGATGTAGAGATGCTGGAACACGGCCCCGTGGAGCATTTGTTAGATGACCACCTGGCTCTGGGGGTTTCGCTTTGGGCGTGAAATGCATATTTCAGATGCATTTATGTCGAAAGAGCCTTTAGGAAGGTTTCTAATTACAGTTGGGAAAGGGGAAAAATGGGACCAAGTGAGAGCCGGCGGGGCTCGGCGGCGTCCAGGGGGACCACCGCCGCCGGTGGTGAGCGCGGGCGAGGCGTCCCAGCCATTCATGGAGCCCGGATCCCCTGCGGGACCTGCTGTCCGCGTGGCGCTGGCACGCCTGTTGACTGGTTTGCGTGTCGTCGTAGGAAACAAGGTGTCTCCTGCTGAGGAAGCAGAACGCGAGGGCCGCGTTCAGAAGAGGAGAAGGAGAAAGAAGAAGAGCCCCCTCCCGCCTGAGCGCTTCGGGTCAGGGGTCAGAGCCGTGCCGCCAGAACAGAACGGGGGCAGCGAGCCAGACGCAGGTTCGGGAAGGGCCCAGAAGCCGGGTGCGGTGGTGCTGGGGGCGGCCGCGCCCTGCCCCCAGGAGCTGAGCCGCTGGGGGCACCCCCCCACGCACAGTAGGAGGAAACGGCCCCGGAAGAGGAGCCCAAGGGGCCAGGGAGAGAGTGCGGAGTCAGCAGCGTCACCTCTGGAGGACTCGTCCCAAGGCGGCCCCGACAGTGGTCACACTCAGGCGCCTGCCCCCCAAGCTCCTCCGGCCGGTGGAGCCCCAGCCCTGAAGCGGAAGCGGAAACTTGGGGCTCCCCTGGTCAATGGCGGCGGCCCACCCACACCAGCCTGGCCCCCGCCCCAGCAGGAGGGCCCTCCAGCGAGCCCAGCAGACGGCGAGGCCTGCCCGAACCCCCTGCCCCAGAGCGGGAGACTGAAGAAGAAGAAGGCGGGGGCCGGCAGCCTTGAGCTGCACGACCCGTCCACTCAGAAAGCTGCCATCTTCAAGAAGAGAAAGAAAATGAAAGAAATGCTCAACTTGAACTTGGTAGAACGGAGCCGAGTGTTAGAATCCGAACTCACACTCGTCCAGGCTCTGGTAAGTTGACCGGGTGGGGGGACAGGGGACAGGCCAGAGGAGCACTCACAGTTCCTAACACCCTTTACCAATAAGGAAACAGACAGGTGACCCGTCTCGGTGGCCAAAACCATCAGCCACCTTCCCTCCCCCGAGCAGGCTGCTCACGCTGAGGCTCCGGAATGACCACATCGGGCTGCGAGAGCTGTCCCTCCATGCCAGGCCAGTCACGCTGCCCCGCGGTTCAAACGGCAAACAAATGTCCTTTGGATGCTGGTCTTGTTTTCCTTCGAGTCACAGCCAATCCTGGGCCCCAAATTCTCTTTTCTTCCACTTGGCTCTCTAGAGCCAGATGTGAACGAGAAGCAGGCTCTGCACCTGCTTTTCAGACCCCCACCCCGGGGGCGCAGTGCGTAGGCACCCCTCGTCACCACGGGTTGGCAGATGTTCCACCGGTGCCCGGCCCCACCTGCTCTGTGCACACCGCCTGGGCCGCTTCCATCAGGGGCAGAGACGATGGGTGTGACAGAGACCTTGTGGCCCTCCAAGCCAAAAGCACGTCCACCCTGGCCCTGCGCGACAGGCTTGTGGACCCCGTCCAGCATGTGTGTTCACGTGTGCTGCTTCACAGTGGCGACACTGACCCGTCTTCACGGCAGCTCATGGGCCTGGGCAGGCGCCGCTCTGGGCCTCTGACAGCTCATCCGAGCGGCTAGGTAGCTAGCTTCTGGTCAGTAAAAGTCCTAGCTGGGGAAACAGGTCACTCCCCTGGGATTCAGGGAGGCCGCTCTAACTCCAGACATTTTCCTGATGAGCTGTGGCTCCTGTGGCACCTTCCCTTGGCTCGCAGCCTCTGCCCTTCACGCACTGGCCATTTGATGCTCTTTCTTCGCTAAGAATATCAGAGAATTCCTGTTGTGTCTTCGTTCTCAGCCTCCTGCAGCCTCTCAGAGAGGTTGGAACAGTTGCTCAGTGAGTCACAGAGTCAAGGGGGCTTTTCCTCCTGAAGGAGCTGTGTGTTTTGAGCACCTGCCAGCGGGGGTGGGAGGGCGTGCAGAAGGGGGCTCCTGGCTCTGCCCCTCGTGGCCTCTGCTCAGGGAAGGCATCAGACTTCAAGCCAGGGTCCCCGAGAACTGGCCAAAACCGCCACTGTGACGTCAACCACACTGGGTTTCTCAGACCCCAGGGTCCCAGTACCAGAGCTGGGTCTTCGCTGTGGGTGGTGGTCCTTTTAAAACACCCAGCGAACATTCTTTATCTGCCTGAAGTGGGCTCCAGAAGCTAACCAGGATGTCACACCCGATGTTTGATGCCACACCGTGGATAACCAGCGGTGTCTTTAGTCAGAAATGAGAGGAGTTAATGTCTAACACAGCCACGCACGCAGAGCAGTGTCCCAGTCAACACCCACCACCCCGATTAAATGGCGCTGAAAGATCTCTGTCCCCTAGTGACAGCTCCTTAACAGCCTCAGGCGGGCCTTTCAGGAGGAGGGGTTCCAGGAGGTGGCATTGTCACAGATGGCAGCTCCCTGCGAGTACGGCCCCTGAAGAGGTTCCCGTCGGACGAGGTGTGGAGGTGGAAGGCAGTGGCCCCGTGACCCTGACCCTGAGGAGGCCTGAGCTAGAGAGTGTGTGTGTGTGCGTGCGTGTTTGACATTTCAACAAAAAGCCTTAGAGAAAAACACAGAATCAGGACATAAGCCAAGAGAATATTTTTTGTTGAGCTATACCTGTCTGTATTTTAAGCTAAGTGTCATTACAGGAGTCAAAAAGTTAAATTTTTTCAAGTTTATAAAGTAACAATAAGTGAATTTATTGAAGGAAGAACACATCTAGACACGTAGATACACAGGTCCTCTCCATTGTTACAGCTGGGGACAGTGCCGGGTACAGTAGGGTGGGCACAGGCTGCTGGGCGGGGAGCAGGAGGCGGTCCCCACAGCCCAGGTGTGCAGTGGGCTCCCCGCAGGCACGGTGCCTCTAACCTGTGTGCAGGACAGAATCGCCTCACCATGCATTTCTCAGAATGTGTCTCTGTTCAGCACTGAACGACTCATAAGGGCTCTATAGGGCACAGGACCTGAGTTTGAAGGCAGAGAAACGGTTCTGAAACCCTCGGAGACCCCTGCCCTGGGGGCTGCGCCTGGGGGAGCAGCGCTGCTTTGCACCAAGGTCGGGCTCTGTTGGGTCTCGTCTGGGACACCGCGACCCTGTCCTGCTGCAGCTTCCTGTGTATGGGTGTGGCCCAGGTGGCTCTGTGTGTGACCCGCCCCTTGTTGCCCCTCACACAGGGGAGCCCCGGGGCGCTCAGCCCTTTGAAGAAGAAGCTGAGGGCGGAGGACGACTTCGTGAAGTTCGACACCCCCTTCTTACCAAAGCCTGTCTTCTTCAGAAAAGCCAAGAGCAGCGCCGCCACCCCGGCCGGGAGCCCCGCCGCACAGGTGCGCACGCGCGTTCCTGCCGGGCGAGCCCCATCTGCGGCGCAGGCTGGCTGTGCGGGGGGCCGGGAGTGCCCCAAGGGATCTCTCGGGGGGCTTCAGGTATGGTGAGGACGCATGCCCCGCGTCCGCGGACCGGCTGCCGCATCGTGGAATTCGTGGGAGTGGGGAGATGGGGAAGACGTGGGGAGACCTGCGCCTGTAAATCAGGACCCGGAGGGAGAGGAGGGGCAGCCACGGTGGGTGCCTGGGGCGTAGGAGTGGACGCTGTCACCACGGAAAGGGCCGTCAGCTGTGCCACATGCCGCCAGAAGGTGGGACGAGGTGCAGACCGCGCACGCGGGGCAGCTCGTCTGGGTTTGTGCCCTGGTGGAGGAGGTCTGGTGGAGCTGGGGGACAGGTGCCTGGGCTGGCCCTGCTGGGGAGACCCACAGGTGGGTGGACATTTTGAGAGTTAGGTGCTGTTCAAGTCCCCTCGACCAGCAGTGACCACTGCCTGTGCTCATCTTTACACGTGAGCTGTTCGGGGACATTTGCTGAATGGCCTTGTGCAGCCAGGTTCCCCTCGTGACATTTACACGTGAGCTGTTCGGGGACATTTGCTGAATGACTGGCCTTGTGCAGCCAGGTTCCCCTCGTGACGTGTCAGTGTTGCTAAAGCAAAAACAGTGTCAGGTGGAGTCACAGTTTATACGGAAATGTGGGGTTCTGAGAAGGACTTTGAGAAAGTGCTTCAAATGCAGAATGGGTCAGCTTCTAGAAGACTTCAGATAGGAGCCAACGTCGTTAATTTTGAGGAATCGTTAAATATTCAAATCGGTTTGGAGTCCCGGTGCACAGAATGTGCACCGAACTCCAGTCTCAGAGCTTCAGAGCCCCAGGGCAGAGGGACCCGGAGTCCTTACGGGCGGTCAGCAGTGCGCCCTGTCCTCTGACTCGGGGGTTCAGCTGTGGCGAGTTTGCTCGAGTTTGCTCTGCCTTCTTTTTGGGAGGCAGGGCCTGTGGAGCGGTGCTGGCGCTGCCCGCCACGCGAGGCTGTCACTCACTCCGGCAAACATGCCGCAGGCCCGCGGGGGTCAGGCTGCCTCGGCCACCGCTGCGTGCTCCTCTCACAGCTGGCTTTCTCCTGCAGGTCAGCAAAACGCCGCCCAGCTCCAAGAAGGTCACCTTCGGGTTAAGCAGAAACATGACTGCAGGTGGGTGTGGGCTTTGCGGCTGCAGGCCACTCCTGGGGAACGGGCGCTGACGGCCGGGGGCGGAGTCAGCCCTGGCTGAGCTGACGGGGTGGCCAGGGGACCTGCGGGGGACAGGGGGGACTCTGGAACGAGATCCTGTGGAAGGCGATGTGAAAGGCCCCTTCCCGCTGCCGCCTGCCTGGAGTACTCCGGCCACCTTGGCCTGAGCTGTGTCACAGGCTGTCGGCTGTGGCCACCTCTGTCTGAATACGGAACCACCCGGCCCAGGAGGAGGGATGGCTGACATTGGTTCGATTCACTCGTGTTGTCTTCCCAGAGGAAACTAATGTTTTTAAAAGTACGAAATGAGTTTAAGACCTGACTCTTGAGGGACAAGTTACTCTTGAGTGCATGTGTGTGTAGGGGAGGGGTTGTCAGGCCAGGGGCCTGCTCACCCCAAGGCTGTGTCCTTAGGTCGGGAGCACTAAGGGCCCAACTCCCCGAAGGAAGGGCTCCCCTGCCGCTCTGTACGCCCCGGTATCACTCCCTGTGCGTGTCCCACAAACACCCCCGCCCCACCTGGCGCTCCCCGCCCCACCTGGCGCTCCCCGCATCTGTTCGGTGGCCCTCAGGCATTGTCCTTGGAAGAGCAAGTTCATGCGTGGGAAGCAGCCTCGCTAGTGACCTCCTTTTGCTCAGAAAACCTGCCCTGCCTTGTGTCGGGACCTGGGCTGGAGACAGCACGGAGGCGGAACACTGGGCGGGCGGACGGGACAGAGATGGCTAACGTGTGGCCTTGCTTTCACCGGGCAGAATTCAAAAAGACGGACAAGAGCATCCTGGTCAGTCCCACAGGCCCCTCCCGAGTGGCCTTCAACCCTGAGCAGAAGCCCCTCCACGGAGTGCTGAAGACCCCCACGAGCTCCCCCATCAGCACGCTCCTGGGGACCAAGAAGCCACTGACCACCGCACCAAGGAGAAGGCCGACGGCCATGGACTTCTTCTAGGCCGCACAGAGTCCCCGTGTGAGGCTGACGCACTGCCCACTGCGCCAAGAGGGCCGCTAGAGTCGCTTTTTAAAGACTGCTTTTGTACAGAATGTTCTATAAATTATAACTTTTAACAGGTGGGGCCTTTTTACGGTTTTATAAATCCTCAGATGGCACCTCCGAGGGTCCGTGTGAGCCGCAGCGCCGCCACCGCTCGCGCCCCCCAGCAGGGGCGGCAGACACCACGGTGCAGGCCTTTGCTCCACACATCGTCGGTGCCTGAGCTCTCCGGGAGTCCACGCTGGCACACTGGCCACAAGTCGCAGTCCGTGCCGTCGTGGGGCGGGGGCCTGCAGTTGGGCTCCGTCAGCCGCCCGCGTCCAGGCCCTCGGTCCCGCGCGCGCCGTGCCAGGCTGGTCTCTGGTGCGCTGTTGTCTGATGGTCTTTGTTCTTTAGAGCAGGCAGGGCTTCGCCCCACATGTGGTGGCTACTGGGCACTTCACGATCAGGGGACACTTGCCAGCAAACCAGCAGTGCCATCCTCTCTACAAGTGCTCAGCTCGGGTGAGCAGAGCCCGGGGCCGTGTCCTTCCCTGTGTTCCTACCTCTCAGCTGCTGGCACGGGCAGCAGCACCCTGGTTCTCACAGGACCGCAGCCCGCCGACTCCTCCACCTACGTCATCGTGCTGTGGCTGCTCTTTATATGTGTTTGAGCCAGGGGTCTAAATAAACGACCCGCGTCTGCCAAAGCAGCCCTCCCGTCTTAGATTAGCTGCCCGTCCCTGGACATGTGGCCGCGGCAGCTGGAGACCTGCTTGAAGGCAGCAGGCAGCAGGCAGCAGGCAGCGGCCTCTAAGAATGTTTGGGCCTATTTATTTGTTCATAGTTACCTAATGTCTGAAACACCGAAGCTTGCACTTACAGATTTTATAAAGTTCTAATTCTAGTTTAAAAATCGGGGGTGGAAGGCACACAGACTTCAGTTAGAGAAACAAGTGCAAGTTTGTGCAGTGCCACCTCATCTGACCACGGACCTCATCTGGGGAGCCACATCTGCCCCCCGAGCCTCGGTGAGGGATGAGACACAGCTCAGGAAGGGCACCGGGCCAGCTTGCTCTTGAGTTCACAGTATGACAGACTGCAGACCTAAAGGAGGGGCGTGCCTTTTGCCTCAGGGGTGCCCCCTGCTCCCCCACCCCCTCTTTGCTCAGGGATTGCGGGCCTCCTGGGAGTGAAAGCCCCCCGACTGTGCAGGAGCCCCAGATTCTCACCAAAACTAGGGCCAGGCCCCGTTCTGCTCCCCAGCTGCCTTGGCGGGCGGACTCTGGCTTCGCGAAAGGGAGGTCCCCTGGGACTGCAGGGCCGGGTGGGGCTGACTGGTTCCCTTAATCACCCGGCAGGGTGGGGGTCAGGTGGGCCCAACCTCTGGGGAAGGCCCTGGTGACGGGGAAGAGGAGCCTCTTCCTTCCCACTCCGTAACAGTTTTATCACAAGCCATGGGGCAAAAGAACATGCCGTTAGCTGGTCCTCATAATGACAAGTCACGAGCGAGACAGCTTTGTCGTGCCATGGTTTCAGTGTGCTCGAGTTTGTGTCACACTTAAAAATCATTCAAAACCAAAATGATCGTATGAGTGGTCAAATATGTTTTTAAACTTTTGTTTAAAAAAAGTTTTATTATCCTTGGTCAAAATACTTTTCTAATAACTTTTATTTCAGCTTTAAAGATGGGTCTTATAGTCAAACAGGCCATGTAAGCCAATGACGTTAAGATAGCGAGATGGTCTAGGGCAAAATGGCACATCTGTCCTGCAGGCGCGTGCAGGGGCTCGTCTCGGGCGCACAGGTGTGTCTGCCGTCTCTCCTGAGGCACTGGGGGATGGCCTGTAAATGCGCCTCCTGCCTGTGGACTTGGGTCCAGAAGTGACTGAGTCTGGGATTCCGTCTGTCCGTCGGAATCTGCCCTGACCTCCTCAGTTTCAGGGATAACTTCAGTAGCTTTACTGTGGCTTATTTTTAATGCCTAAATTTTGGCTACAAAAGAGGAAAAACGATTTTTTAAAAATTCGCATTACATATGTATACACACAAGAATATGTCACATAAATGTATTTAGAATACCAGTTTTCTACGTGGTGCATGTTATTTTCTTAAGTAAAATTGCCAAGGGGACTTGGCAGTCCAGAAAAGGAAGTAATGCAAAGCTGACGATCTTAGAGTATTTTTTAGGATTTGGTATCACACTTTACAACATATCGCCCTCTCTAACTTTCACTAAATTGAAAGCACAAAGGAGAATGTGAAGCCGCCGTCAGTGCTGAAAGAAAGTGAAACTGAGCCCCTCCTTTGGTTTTTGTGTTTTCTCGGGGTTCGCCTGACTGCCAGCAAGGGCTGTCTGTCTACAGCCCGCCAGTTTGCGTTAGTGTCCGCAGGGTTTGTCAGCACTCGTCAAAGCCAAGTTCAATAAAAGAACCCTCTTTGCCCTGAGGTTTGTATGGAATGTTGAAAATGCACCTCTTCGGGAGGTGACAGTGCCGCGGCGGCCGGAAGGTGTTGGCATCAGGCTTTGCAAACACTGTCGGGGCACCTGTCCAGTCGGGCGAGGGGATGCTGGGCCCGCCGGCCCTGCTCGCTGCCAGGCCTGAAGCGTGCCGGGCCTCGGCCTGCGAGGACCAGGGAGAGGGGCGCGGCCCTGGGTGGACCCCCAGCTCATCCCGGGGACGTGGCCTCCCGCAGGTGTCGAGGGCACAGTGAAACAACTAAACCGCAGTAAGGCCCGCCCCCAGCGACCCCTTGCCCTGACCCGCGCCCCCCAGCGGGCCGCGCTCCGTCACGTGGCCGCGTCCTCGCTCCTCCCACCCTCGCGGATGAAGCCCAGCGCCCCCGAGGTTCCGGCCCCACAACCCTCTCCTGAGACAGCAGGCGTCAGGGAGCAAACCTGTCCTGAAGGTTTGGGGGTGAGGGTGGGGCTATGTCACCCCCGCTCCACAACAAGCTCGCACTCCAAACAGCGTCCTTCGGAGTGATGGTGATGGACTTCTCGCCGTGTCCACGCCTCCAGCTCTGAGCCTTCGGCCGTCAGCTACACCTCAAGGACCCGTGCCACCTCGTCTCAGGTGCACAGGCTTCGGCTCCCTCCGGTCCCCATGGCGCTCAGCTGTCCCCACTGTTCACACACGCTCACGTGGTGCTCACATAGCCTTGCGCTCCTGAGAAGACAGGTTGCCAAGTGGCCATTTCTCCCTCCGTCACTGACCATGTGTCCTGCACACCAGCAAATGCTCGCTGGGCACCCACAGTGCGGTTCCACGTGCTGCAGACACTGCCGTCAGCAGACGAGATCGGTGCCCTCCTGGAGCTGACCGGGTGGGGTGACAAGCAGGTAGAGTGCTCGTCAGCGTGGGGGGGGCGGGCCGGAGCTCCAGATGGGGTAATAAACCAGGGAAAGGACGGGGGCGCATTGGGCTCGGTGCTGTCCCGTAAGTGAGCGGCAGTTTTGTGCAGATCGCCACCAGACTTTACAGACGTGCCCTTTTAAGTTTCTACAAAACTTAAACCACAAAGAAGCATAAAAACGATCCAGAAGCAGTTGCTAGTTTTATTAGGTGTTGGAAAGAACATTAAATTGAAACCACATTTTAATTTCTATGTTTTTTTCTAAATTTAACTGAGCCTGATGGCAAGGACTGTTTGTTTACAAGAGACAGCATCTGAATAGAGACCTAAAGGAGGTGGGAAAGTGAGCCACGCGGGTTTCTGAGGACGCCCGGCACAGGCCCTGGGCAGGTAGGTGTTTGGGGAACCGGAAGAGCAGCAAGGAGAGCCGGGACTGCCAGGTGACAGCACGGGCTGGCAGCGGAGCGTCCGTCAGAGACATCCGATGGGCCGTCAGAATCAGCACAGACCGCTCTCAGGGGCTCAGGGTTGCAAAGGGGCTCACGACAAACGAAGCGCGAATTCAGCACCGCACAGAAGCTCAGGAAACAGCGGGGCGGGGGCTGTGGCATTGCGGCCGCCGCGCCCACGGCCCTGCCCTGCACAGCGCGGCCTCAGTGGGCTGGCAGCTGAGGGCAGTCGGTCCCCAGCTCCCTGGGCCGGAAGAGCCACGCCGCTCGGATCCAGCAGCAAGGGGACCGTTTGCTGTCACACTTCCTCCACTGCAGAGGGAGCACAGGGAGGGCCCGGGGCTGGCGAAGGGCCAGCATGGGTGCCAGGGAGGTCACCCCTTCCAAAACTCAGACGCGGGGACTCTGCGACTCAGCACAGACGCGTCTCCAGCCCCTGCGAGGTGCAGGAACTTCTCCCGGGGCCTCCGTCTGCTCCGCCAGGCTCTGCGATTTTCCGACGTCCCCTCAGCTTCCCAGAAGGGAGTTCACGAGTCCCTGTGCACAGACGAGGAACCGAGGCCGGGAGGAGCACAGGTCCCGGGACCTCCACCCTCAGTGCCTCTGTCCCCATGGACTGGCCCTCGGCAAGTACCAGCTGCATCGAATTGGCCAGAAAAACCACACACCAAAGGGCTTTCCTCGCTGGACCTCCTTGAGGTCCAAGCCAGACACACTCCTGCCAGGCCCCTCAGCCTCAGCCCTCATTCCGTACCCCAGACACCCACAGACTGTCACCTCACATGGATGGGTGTCCACCTTTGCCGGGCGTCCTGTTTGTATATTCTTCTCTACTGGACCTGCTCAGGGTGAAGCATGGACAACACGACACTTCGTCCCCGACACTGCAGCCTGCCACCGCCAAGGAGCAGCGTTCTCCATAAGCACAGCGGCGTGGCCACCAGGTCCGACACCCCCTCCAAGTTCCAGTTCGGGTTTCTCCCGGGCATCCCCAGATGCACTGACCTAGCCGGGAGGTGACCGGGGGGCTGCGCGTTTCGTTTGCTCGTCCCGTCTAAAGTTTCTCATGTAGAACCTCCCTCGTTTTTTCTCATGACGTTGGCTTTTGAAGAGTGTGTCTCCCCCTGACCCTGTAGCTTACAGGTGGCTGGGATGGCCCTGGGGCCGGTCCAGCAGGGGTCGTGACCTTTCCACTTGGTTGCCGGGACCCCTGCGGGACGCCCTGGCATTCTGACCGCCCCCCCCACACCCCACTGTGCTGAGCCAGGCCAGGCCTCAGAGGCGGGCTGGTTGCCACGGTAGCTCCAATTCCAGCCGCCTCAGGAAGCTGGGACAGCGAGGGCCTTTATTTTCAACCCCAGGAAGGGACGGTTCCCCCGGCCCAGCCTCAGGACTGGTGCCCCGTAGCGCAGGCTGGTTTTCCTTGAGATCCGGGCCTACCACACGGAGCCGCCCTGTCCTGTGTCCCTAGAGAAATGACCCAAGGAGGCCGGTTCCTGCCTGGCCAGGAGCTGAGCCAGGCCCTGTGGGAACATGGGATTCGACAGGTTTCATGTCCCAGAGGCCCTGCCTCTGGTGTCACACAGATCACCACCTCACTGTCGTCTTGGCTGTGGACCTGCCAAGGCCCTCGCAGGTCAATGAACTCGGGGGTCGGCAGGCAGGCCGGCAGCAGATGCGTTTCCGGCTTGTGCAGCAGGTGGACAGAACTTGGACCACACTTTATTTACCAATGCCCCAGTTAACTATCTTTTCCATAAATGAAACACAACCAAGTCAAAGTTTTGCTTAAAAACACAACATGAATGCAAGACAATGACTGGGCGTCGGTCTGTGTTCTGAGCCCGCACTCTCTGCGGGAACCAGGTCCGCACGCTGCGGTCTGAATGTCATGTGGTGACCCGCCGGGATATGGCGAGGTGACAGAGCGCCCAGCTGCCCCCTGAGCCCCCGGCTGCGGCACCCGACGTCCAGATCCAGAGAAACGCCCCGTTCCTCGCACCCTCAGGCTCGCTCTGGAGAAACGCTCTGGGGTGCTGTCTCCCTGGGCGCATTTGCCGGGCACAGGCATGAAAGGGGGCGTCCCACACGAGAGGCACCCGGGACGTCGCGAGTGCTGTCCCGCAGAAGTGCGGCCCAAGCCATGGATCTGAGTCACAGTGGCCACTTTGAATCAACTGTCCGGTAGCCGCATTAAAAAGGAAAAAGAAACAGGTGAAATCAAGTTTAATAATACGTTTCATTTACCCCAAATACGCAACACATTGCCGTTTCCACATGTAATCTAAAAAATTATGAGTGAACGATTCTGCAGCCTTTTTTGTAGCGAGTCTGTGAAACCCAGTGCGTAGGCGGACGGCACTGGTCACTCAGAACCCACCCCAGCCCAGCCCTCGGATGGCACGTGTGACTTGGCTGCACTATTGCCCATGGCAGGTCCGCATCCAAAACAGAGGGGAAGTTTGCCCAGAGGACCTGGAGGGGCCACTCACGGCCAAGCACGCAGAGGCAGGGGCAGGTCAGGGAGGGCTGTTTGGACTCTGTCCTGGAGTCATTTCAAGGACCCTTGAAAGAAGAGCTTCAGGCGGGCCAAGCTGAGGTGGGAGGGGGCCCGGCAGCAGGCAAAGGAGGGGCCGGGTGCAGGAGAGGTCCGAGCTCCGCCGGCTGGGGAGGAGGCGGGCGGGTTTCTGGTTGACTCGAGGACACGGGCAGCTCTGGGTGAGTCACCGGTGAGTGACCGCCTCTCTCTGCCCGCTTCCTGGTCTGTGCCATCTTCCAGGGTGTGCCATCCTCCCAAAAAGAGCTGGCGGCCTCGTCCTCACGCCACTTTGGAACGGACTGGCCTCCAGCTGCCCAGCCTGGTGGAGGGACAGGACAACGGGCTCCCTGCGGGGCTTTGGGAAGTGACATCTGAGGGCTTCCAGTGGGGGCCGCCTCGAGGGCCAGCCTCTGGGGGTCGGTCACCCTGCAGTGCCCTCTGACCTTCCTCTGAAACGTCCACGAGGAAGGAGGTGTCTCCAAGGGCCACGAGGACTGGGGCTTCGGGGCGGGGCTGGCCCTTGCTCTGGGTCCTGACAGTGGGGGCCAGAGGGGGCATGAGGCTCTCATTAGTTCCAGAGCTGCCACAGGGAAGACCATGTACCCCCCTTGTGGGTGGCGATGGTGTACTTCTCTTTCAGGAAGCTGGTCACCTGGGTCCCCGAGTGAAGCCAGCAGGAGCCAGGCGCCCGCGTGTTTGGCGGAGGGCTCTGATGCTCCTTTTGTGCTGGAGGTCACAGCCTTTCTGAACTCCATCTGAAAATGGCTGCAGTTCTTCCTGGCATTAGTCACTGCCTGCTGACTGTGGCTCTGGTCCCTCGATTTTTAAATCCTGGCATTATTTCTCAGCTTAGGGTTTTAAGAATAAAAAAAATGTTGAAAATGTACCCCAGTGGCTGCTCCTGGATTCAAGCCCTGCTTTATAGGCACCTCCCACCATGTGCCATCGATTGCCACCACAGCTCTCAATGTCCTGGCACCTGTCACACTGACCTCAGCAACTAAAAAGGCCGCAGGTCCTGACACTGTTCTTCCGACCCAACTGACGTCCTGTTAGTGAAGAGAGACTTCGCCGTTTCTCCCCAGCACACTGAAGGGACCGCT